CCTGAGGGCAGATGGTGAGGAGTGGGCAGGATGAGAAACTAGAGGGAAAGAGAAAATGAGGCCGCGGGAGTAACACAGCAGGAGGCCGAATCTTCCCGCATTGGTCCCGGCCCTGCCAGCGCTCCCCACCCCCAAGGGAAAATGCCCGCCTGGGTCCTTACCTGGACCCTGGGCGTTGTTACACCTGGCTGGGGCCGCGGGTTTGGGAGCGAGACGCCAGGCCCTTAACTACCTGTCCCCTCCTGCCCCCGCCCTTGGCCTGACATCACTGAGAGGGGAAGAGGAGGAGGGAGCCAGTCGGCCGCCCAGCCGCTCACCTGGGCAGCCAGCCAGCCCCTGGCCCTGAGACGGGCACAGCCTGGGGCCCTAGTGCGGCTGGGGGGTGAGAGCAGGTTGTCGTCTGGAACCGATCTCGGTCCCCTTACCTGGAGAAGCCTGAACGGGAGTAGCACAACACAGGGTCCGAAGTCCGGCGTAGTCTAGGGACCCCAGGTACCTGGACTTGATTTCAAACCCCCTCCCTCTTCTCTACAGGAGGTAGGAGGGTGTCCCAACCTTGGACGTAGAATTGGGTGGAGGGTGAGTGAGCCTTGTGTGTACAGGTTCCTGGCCCAAGAAAACTAAAATTACCCTGTGCAGGTGGGGGCGGGGCCGGGGGAGGAGCACGGGAAGAGGGAGCACCGCAGGGGCGGGGACTCCCCGAAACTCTACACCGACTGGGATTGTTTTTGCCCTTCCTAGCCTGGCAGCAGGTGCCAGGGAAGGGGCGGAGACAGTCCAACTGAACAGCCTCCACAGCAAAGACCTGGAGTCCTCACGGCCTGGGAGGGAGAGGCTGGGAGCGGGAAGGTAGGGGAGGCGGCCCCGCCCACTCTTCCCCAGGCCCCCCTCCCCAAACCTGGTCTGTTCATTGGCCAAGCCAGGGGTCCCACCCCCTGGGGCAAAGGGCACTCTGAGAAAGAGGAAAGCCAACCAGAGGAAAGACCAGCAATATGGCCTGCCCCTTGACCTCCCTCCAACCTGGCCACCCAGGCTGCATCCTAGCTCCTCAGAGGTACCCAGGGAATGTCCTCCCTTCTGAGCAAAGTCCAGGGGCTCAGCTTCTCCTTCTGAAATTGAAGGGGTAGCTCAGGGTCTCTTGGTGGAAGGAGTAACCTAAGCAAAGCTCTGGCCAGGTGCCAGGGGACTCCCTGAGAGCGGCTCTTTCCTTCAGCACTAGGCAAACACTAGGGCTGGGGGAGGACCTGGAAAGCTGAGATCAAAGGCAGAGGCCACCTCCCAGCCCAAAATGGGTAACGGCTGGTAAATAAACAATCCATAGGTTGATACGAGGTCTGCCTTGGAAGACCATGAGAAGAGGCTTCAGCCTCAAGTCTCTCCAAACTTGGTTTTCCTAGGAAAAACCAGTAGGAGTGGACTAAGCAAAGAAGTGGGAGAGGGAGTAAGGTCGCCTGGGCCATGGAACAGCTGGTGCAAAGTGCAGTAGACAATTCACTCAATCATTCCTTCATTCATTCAACTAATATTTGTTAAGTACCTACCATATGCCAATCCCATGTTTGGTACTGGGAACCCAGTAGTGAGCAACAAAAACAAACCACTCCCTTGTCCTCATGCAGCCCAGTCAGGGAGACTGATATTAATGAACGAATCATACAAATAATAAGAAATGACAGGTGACAACTATGCTGGGAGAATGACTCACCTAGGGGGTTAGGGAAGACTTCATGCAAGTTGCAACTGAGCAGCTGAAGAGAGGGGACGCTGTCTGGGGCAAGGAAAATGGGTGTGGAAGGTGTGAGGAAAGGCAAGTGCTTTGGGCTCAGCTGTGTTTCTCCAAGGGTGGCCTGTGATCACCTGCCTCCATGTCTCCGTAGGCTTGTATTAAAAAGCAGACCCCAGTGTTCCTCCCCATCTACTGAATCTGTCTCTGGGGGCAAGACCCAGGAATGTGTGGTATTGACAAGCCCTCAGGTGCTTGTTCTGTAAACCAGGTTTAAGAGCCATCCGTCCTGTCTGTCCAGACCAGCAGGAACTATGGGCAGAGGCCAGACCCTGCAGGGTCTATCTGGGCTTAAGTAGGACCACAGAGGAGCAGGCAGATTAACATTTTGGAATGATCACCCTGGATGTTGAAGGATAAGTTGGAGAGGGAATTCAGTCTCACAGGACTGAGCGCTGTAGGATTCCATTCATACGGATTTCTGGAGAGGGTGGAACCATAAGGACAGAAAGCAGGTCTGGGGTTGGGGAGGAGAGAGAGAGGGGTTGACAATAGGGGCACAGGAACTTGTGGGAGGCAATGGACCGTTGTGTATCTTGGTCACACTGATGGATGCACAACCGTGTGTGTCAGGACTCACAGAAAGGTATACACAAGAGGATGAATTTTACTGTATATAAATTGTATCTGAGGTTTTTAAGGAATTTTATTTATTTATTTTTAGAGGGAGGGGAAGCAAGGGAGAGAGGGAGAGAAACATCAATGTGTGGTTGCCTCTCGCGCCCCCTGCTGGGGACCTGGCCTGCAACCCAGGCACGTGCCCTCACCAAGAATCAAACCAGCGACCCCTTGGTTCGCAGGCCGGTGCTCAATCCACTGAGCCACACCAGCCAGGGCTGTATCTGAATATTTTAATAAAAAGAAACAACAAAAAATAGATTTATAGCTCGATGAAACAGAAACAAGATTCCAAATATAAACCCTTACATTTTTGGCCTATTGATTTTTGACAAAGTGCCAAGACCATTCAATGTGGGAAAGGATGGCCCTTTCAATAAATGGTTCTGGGACAACTGTCTGCACACAAAAAGACAAATTTAGATCCTTACCTCACACAATGTACAAAAATTAATTCAAAATAGATCATCAACCTAAAGGTAAGAGCTAAAACTAAAAAACTTCTAGAAGAAACCATGGGAGAAAAACCTTTATGACCTTGTATCTCAGCTACAACAGCAAAAGCACAAGTGACAAGTGAAAAAATTGGTAATTAGACTTCATCAAAATTAAAATATTTTCCCTTCAAGATCCCACTAAGCCCTGGCTGGTATGGCTCAGTGGACTGAGTGCTGGCCTGTGAACCAAAGGGCTGATGGTTCAATTCCCAGTCAGAGCACATGCCTGGGTTGCGAGCCAGGTCCCCAGTTAGGGGCATCGAGAGTTGACCACACATTGATGTTTCTCTCCCTTTCTTTCTCCTTCCATTCCCCTCTCTCTAAAAATAAATAAATAAAATAGAAAAAATAGAAAAAAACCACAATGATATACCACCTCACACCCACCAGAATGGCTATAATCAAAGGGACACACAAGTGTTGACAAAGATATGGGGAAACAAATCCTTATATATTGCTGGTGGGAATGTAAAATGGTACAGCCACTTTGAAACACAGTTTGGCAGTTTCTTAAAAAGTTAAATGTACCATATGACCCAGAAATTCTACTCCTAAGAATCTACCCAAGAGAAATGAAAACGCACATACATGCAAAGACAATTACATGAACATTCATAGCAGCGTTATCCAAAATAGCCAAAAACTGGCCCTGGATGGGGGCTTGGTTGGTTGAGCTGAGCACTGATGTACATCAAAAGGTTTCGGGTTGATCCGCAGCAAGGGCACATACTTAGGTTGCCATTCAGTCCCTTGTCGGGGGTACGTACGTATGAGAGGCAACCAACCAGTCGACGTTTGTTTCTCACATGTCTCTCTCTCTGTCTCTCTCTCTGTCTCTCTCTCTCTCTCCTCCTTCCTCTCTCTCTAAAATCAAGGAGCATGTCCTTGAGTGAGGATGTAAAAAAAGCAGCAGCAGCAGCAGCAGCCAAAAACTGGAAACTCAAATGTCCATCAATTGACATATAATAGATAAACAAAAGGTGGCATATCCATACAATGAGATGCTAAGCTATAAAAAGGAAAAGCTACTGGTACATGCTACAGCATGGATGAACCTCAAAACTTTATACTGCATAAAAGGAGCCAAAAGCAAAAGACTGCATATTTTATCATTTAATTTACATGAAATGTCCAGAAAAGGCAAATTTATAGACAGAAAGCAGATCAATGGTTGCCTAGGACTGGAGCTCAGAGCTGGATTGACGGCCAACAGGCAATAAGGACATTTTGAGGTTGATGGAAATGTTCTATAACTGGATTGTAGTGACGGTTGCACAAATCTATACATCATTGTTTTAAAATGAATGGTTTAAAGAGATGCTAGCATGGGTCACCTGTTAACTACACTGTGGTGGGACTCCAAAGGGGGAAGAAGCAGCGAGACAACCTCCATTTCTAGAGTTGCAAAATGAGAATAATGATGCCACCCTGTAGTGAGGCTCGGATGACCGGGGAGGTGCAGAATGGGGTGCGTGTGACGGGAGCATAGAGCCTAAGGACTGGGTGCCCCAAAGCCTCTTATTCCCAAGTGCAGGGGGAGAGGCGGCTGTATCAACAGTTTAGAGTTTAAGAGTCAGAAATACTTGCCTTGACCTGCTGGTTCAGTCGGTTGGAGCATTGTCCTGTACACCAAAGTATGCAGGTTCCATCCCCTGTCGGGGCACATACCCAGGTGCGGGGAGCTACAGGAGGCAACTGATGGGTGTTTCTCTCTCACATCGATGTTTCTCTCTCTCTTCTTTCCTCTCTAAAATTAATTAACATATTCTCAGGTGAGGAGAAAAAAGTCACAAATACTTGGTTTAAAATGCCATCCACATGTTAGCAAGAAATGGAAACTATTCCATAGCATCAGCCTACCCCAGGCCTTGAGACCCCTTGTTCCACCACATTCTCTTGCTGGAAAGCGCTTTGCAGTTTCAGATATTTCATTAGATTAAATAAGGCCGAGAAAGTCCAGGGGACACCAGGTACAGGACAAGCCTGGGACCTCGGAATGCGGTCTAGACTGGTCCACCCAGCCGGGAGCCTTCTGGCCAAGGATCGGGTCAAAACACTGAAGCGGCCTGCAGGGGGCGCCCGGACGTAGCGCGCGGCCCCGCCCCTTCACATGTCCGCGGCGTCGCGTCACACCCGGAAGCAGCGGCTGGAGCGGAGCCAGCCGCAATGAGCGGGGACCTGGGGTCGACCTCCGCGGCGCCGGATCCCGGGGAGGTCCAACCGGGCAGCGGGGTCCGCCTGGTGGTGGAGTTCTGGTGAGCGGCTCCGGCCGGTGGGGTTCCGGCCCGGACGGGGGTGGGCGGGCCCACGGGAGATCCCTACCCCGGAACCCAAGCGGACCCCAGTTATCTCCACCCTAGTGAACCCTGCGGCTTTGAGGCGGCCTACCTGGAGCTGGAGAGTGCCGTGAAGGAGCAGTATCCTGGCATCGAGATCGAGTCGCGTACGGGAGGCCCAGGTGAGGCCCGCGGAACACCTGCTGAGTCAGTGTTCTAAATCCCAGCTCTACGCTTTCTGTCTCTGGCGTTGTCTGTTTTAGTGTCCAGCAGTATCTGGCATATAGGAAAATGTCCAGACAACTTGACTCCCCTTCCAAAGGTGGGCGGGGGTCACAGATGATTCCTGTAGGGAAGAATCGGAGAGACTGCGGAAATACAGATTTGGAAAGGAGGGATCCCTTCATTGAGTCAAAGAAAGGACATGCCTGTGACGTCTCTTGTAGGTTCCTTTGGCTTGACCCTGGGTTGGGAAATGGCTTAAAGTACCACACGTCTGGAGCCTGTGGAAGTCCTGAGTGTGGAGGGCTTCCTGGCTTTTACCTTCTCTCAGCATGCAGTTCACTCATTGGTTTATTTCATACCAGGGGCCTTTGAGATCCACATCAATGGACAGCTGGTGTTCTCCAAGCTGGAGAATGGGGGCTTCCCTTATGAGAAAGATGTGAGTATTCGCAATGGTGGGAGTACCCCTGGTTCACCATGCCTCTAAAGCAGTACATCACCCCGTTGTCTCTGCTCTTTAGCTCATTGAGGCCATCCGAAGAGCCATTAACGGAGAACCCCTAGAAAAGATCACCAACAGCCGGCCTCCCTGCGTCATCCTGTGACTACATGGGATTTCCAGTTCCTGCTCTGTTCTGGAATCCAGGCCTTGGTCCCATTTGGTCCTGCTGCGGGTTCCCCACTGCCTCTTACCCTTCATTTAGCTCTGGTAGCTCAGAGGCCCTGGTCTCCACTTTGCCCCTTTGGGTACCAGGAAAGAATAGAAACTTCTGTTGATCTGGAGGGTGGAAGAGGCATTCCATTGGCATCACCACAGCCACCTTATACCCCTTCCTGGGATTAGTGTCCCCTCTCCAGCTTAGCAACACCTAGCAGAGGCCACTGGAGTTCTAATTTATTTTCTACTAGCCCCTGGCAATGTCAACTATTGGCAATAAAGTAACACTACAAACACCCATGCTAACTAGTGTGCAGTATGTCCAGTCTGGGAGTGTGGGGATTGGGGAGCACAGAAGACAGCCCAGGCTTTCACGCCACTGGGTGGCTGTGCTTTTTTCTGGAGAGCTACTTCTAGTTCAGTGATCTCCTCTCAGTGCCAAGGCAAGGACAGTGAGTCAGTCGACATTGCCTCTTCCTTTCTCCCCCTCCCCTCCCCCCCCCTTTATCCAGAGAAGAAATTACCCATTATTGTGGGTAGATGGCCTTAAGAATTTGCTTTTTTCTAAGGAAGAATGATTTGGTTGGCAAAGGACTCTCAGATCAGAATCCCAACTCCCAGATCTCACCCACCCCGAAACCCAAAAGCCAGGAAGTTGGAAGACAGCCGTGTCATTCAAGCTTCCTAAAGATTCCTAGTCACTCCCTGGAGGAAAAGATGACTTGACTGTACGTTAGGAGGTAGGCAGTAAGGGATGGCACAGGGCTACCCCCAGACATCAGCTGGTGCCCAGCTGTTTTCCAAAATATATTTGTAGATGGAGAAAGTCAATGTGGAGAAGAGACATCCCTCTCCCAACCGCAGGGACCAGCCCCCTTCTGTAATACCCATTCTCCCCGAGTCCTTATTTCATTTTTTTTTTAACTTTTATTATTTATTTTATGCTGAAATTTACTCCCAGGCCATAACGTTGTTTCTTCTGGGATGTCTTCTGTGCAACTTCTGGTGTAGGAACAGTGTGCTCTTTTTCAGTAGGGATCATCTCAGCGGCAGAGAGAGCTCCTGTGCGGGTTAATCCACTCCTGAGCTCGGGAAGCTCTGCACCGCATCCGGGGAGCTTTGTTCACCTGGATGTGCTCGATGACTAGAGAACCTACATCTAAACCCCTATCGTTCAGCATTACTCCCTGCGTTTTTAAGCATGTGGAGCAAAAACTCAGCACTCTTTTTGGACCACCGGCCCGGTGTCCTGCCCCCGTTTGGCCTGAGCACACCTACCAACTCCCCCATTGTATCAATGGAATGGGACACATTGCTTCTTTAAAGTGACATCTTTCAGATACTTGGAGGATTTTCGAATATGCATATCCTTGATGGCCTGGGCAGTTTCATGAGTGTTCTTAAAGTGAACACGAAGATTTGAACCTCTTGATTTGCATGATTTTGTGGGGTTTTCTGGGTCAAGTGCATAGTGAACCATTTTCAAAGGTCACCTCTGGTCACTTTAGGGACGAGGAGCTTATTTCATTTAAAAAAAAAAAAAAGTAGAAACAAAAAAAGCACTCTGTACAAGGACTGGACCTAGACACTCCTACTGCTCCCTTCCTCCTGGGGGCAGAGCTAGGTCTCAGAGACAGTTTCTGAATGGGTTGTCTTTGTCCTAGATGCTCCCTCAGGCCTCTTCCCCTCCCAGGCCCAGCCTCCCTAAGTCCTTCAGTGCCAGGGATCTGGAAGGAGAGAGCCAGGCGGGCCGCTCCCTCAGGTGAGGACACTGTGGCTGTGGCATCCATTGGACCCTAGAGTCTGCTGGGGCAGGGCTCCAAACCAGTGAAGACTGCGTACCGCTGCTGCCTCTGCTTCCAGCCGGGGGGCCCTTCTTAGCCACCTGGGGACTGGAATAGGAAGGAAGGTCCCTGGCATGGCGGGCTCCACCGGATGTGGTCCAAGGGCCCTCGCCCTGCGTTGTCCCGACACAGGCCAGAAGTGAGGCCTTCCCCATTCCCCGAGGGCTCGGCAAGGCCTAAGCAGACTTGGCCTTTTGGCTCACACTGGCACGTTCAGGCCCAGGTACTCTGGGTTCTCTGCTGTAGGGGTCCCTTCAAACGTGCTGGGTGGAGAGCCCCGCTCTGGTGGGTCCTGGTCCCAGTAATAGAGGTTGTCAAAGGCTGGGCTGAAGGCTGGAGGGGGGTGGGGCTGAGGGGCAGCCCTGCTGCGTGGCGCCAGGTACTCAGGGTTCTCCACAGCACCCCCAAAGGCAAAAATGTCTTTGACAACCCCGTTCTTCCCAGGGGGGAGAGTCTTGGGCCTTTCCAGAGTGGCTCCTCCAGGTCGAGGAGGCGGCAGCGGGCCCTCCAGGGGCGAGGGGGGCTTCGGGCGAACCTCTGTCTGGTTCACATATTCTGAAAGGGCAAAAGAAGGGGACTTGTTAGGGAAAGAAACCCATGTGTCCCAGCTACTACTACTTATCACAGCCCCCGCAGTGGGCCCCCAACTCCCCCCACCTCCCACTCTCTCGGCTCAGGCCCAGCTTCCATACCTGGCTGGGGGCTGCAGGTCAGGGGGGCCACATAGCCATCCGTCTCAGGGGGCAGGGGTACTGTGGGGTCCTCGCTATACCTCTGTAGAGGGCTGGGGTCAAGCGGGGGGAGGTTCTGCAGCCCCTTGGCCGCCCCCATTCCCAAGTCGCCGTCAAACACATCAGAGCCCGCCCCTTCTGAGGGTGCCAGTGGAGACTTGGGGGGCTCCTCCTCGGCGGGCTCAAGCCCCAGGGTCAGCTCACCACCGCCACTCTGGAGATAATAGAGAAGGTCATGATGGGGTCATTCATGGATTTGAGATGGAGACTGTGAGGTGACAGGGTCACAGGAGATAAACAGAGGCCACCTTTGGGGTGTGGAACAATCACTGGGGAAAATGGGGTCATGGGTTGGAAGGCAGTAGGAATCCTTGAGGACAAAGGGACTTGCATGAGAGGTGGTGGTTGTGGGTGGGGGGCATGAGAGAAAGGAACCCCGGTCCGTTGGGCTCAGAAGAGGTAACCACACCCACCACGGCGTGAGCAAGGGCACTGACCCTGGTGGAGGAGCTGCGATGCCTGCGGTGGGCCGTGCTCCCAGCGCCCGGGGCAGGGTCTGGGCAGAAGAAGCCTTGCTGGGGTACCAGGTACTCCTCAGCATCCACCAGGTCCCCCATGTCGTCGTCCTCCAGCAGCGATCGGTAGAAGGTGCTGTCCAAGGGGCTGGCGGGGCCCAAGTCCTCATTCTGGGGAGGAGGGAGACAAAAGAGCGTGGCACCCTCCCCTCGGCCCCGGGCTCAGGGAGGTTTAAGAGGTACGACGAATCAGGGAAGGGCTGGGCTTGGGGGCCCGGGACCGGGAGTCAGCCCCCTTTCCACCCTCTGCAGCAGAGGGCTTAGTCACAGGCACGGGCGTCGGGGGAGGGTCCAGTACCTGGATGACCACAAAGCGCTGGGGGTCCCTGGCCATGCGGGAGAATTCGGCCACCAACTCCCGGAACCGAGGCCGACATTCAGAATCGATCATCCAACCTGGGGGCGGGAGAAAGCTCAGTATCTCGGGTCCAGTGGCAGCCTGTGCGCTGCCCTGCCTAGTGCCTAGAGCTCAAAGCCTTTAGGTGTTAGGGATGAGGTAACCAGGAACTTTTGAGAATCTCTAAGTTAGCCCTTTTTATTTTGCATATTAAGTCTCTTTCTAGCTGGTCCTCTGGAGTGTCCCTGGACGGCTCCTGTGAAAGGGAAGCACGACTCTTTTGAGTTTCCTTTAATAATACCAGGACCCCTGGGTCCACACACATTCTGCTCGGCCCCCTCCCATGCCCCCTGTGGACCCCTCTACCCAGGGCCTCCCACCCCTCCTCCAAACAGCCCGCACAGCACCACCACGCACATTTGACCATGATCATGTAGACATCGATGGTGCAGATCGGGGGCTGGGGTAACCGCTCCCCCTTCTCCAGCAGGTCAGGAATCTCCCGGGCTGGGATCCCATCGTAAGGTTTGGCCCCGAAAGTCATCAGCTCCCATACAGTCACACCTGGGGCAGAGGGGCAACAGAGGGAGCTTTAGCGTGCCGCCCGAGACTCTGCAGCAGCCTGGTGCCAAGCAGGCAGGAGGCGGGGGAGTGCTGCTCACAGGCAGCAGCTCCCTTCGGTCTTTCCCGGATCCCTGGGGCAGGTCCAGAGAGACCCTGGCAGAGGGAGGCCCTAGCAGCCCCTCCCCTCGGTCCCACAGTTTTGCTGAGGTGTCTCCATTGATTCTCATCGTTTCACTAACATCCCTGCCCACGGACAGGGCCGCGCTCCTTGTCCACCCTCCCCACCACGCACCATAGCTCCACACATCACTCTGGTGGGTGAACCGTCGGCGGAGAATGGACTCCAATGCCATCCACTTGATGGGCACCTGGGAGAGCAGAGGAAGTCTTTGAACTAGGTGTGCTGGGCGGGGGGCCTTCTCAGAGCTCTCCCACGGCCCAGACCCCGCTCCGCCTTGCCTCGCTCTGCTCCCTCCTCTAACCTTGCCCCCATCTGCGTGGTACTCCGTCTCATCGATGTCCAGCAGCCGAGCCAGCCCAAAGTCTGTGATCTTGACATGGTTAGGACTCTTGACCAGCACGTTCCGGGCAGCCAGGTCCCTGTGCACGAGCCGCACCTCCTCCAGGTAGCTCATTCCCTGGGATCGGGGGCATCCTGGTTAGTCACGCTCTGGCCGCACTTCCCTAGGAAACGGCCCCATCCTCACCCTGCATGGGGACAGGCTTTCTCCCGAGGACACCCACAGAGCCCAGGCCCCCTCGGTGCATACCTTGGCAATCTGCACACACCAGTTCAGCAGGTCCTGGGAGCCCAAGCGCCCGCGGTGTTCTCGGACATGGTCCAGGAGGCAGCCATAGGGCATAAGCTGTGTCACCAGCTGCACCGTGGAGGTCAAGCAGATGCCCAGGAGGCGTGACACGTAAGGGGAGCCCACACCAGCCATCACATACGCTTCCTGGAGACAAAGGTACACACCGAGAGGGCATGTATGAGACACTGCAAACCCCAACCACCACACACCCCTCCCGAGGGCCCCTCCCGAGGGTGTGACTGAGGACCCTTCACTGGATCTGACCCCGTCCAACGCAAACCAGAACCCCAGCCCACCGGCTGGGGAGGTTAAGAGTCGAGGCTTGGGGATGACCCAAAGTGTCTCCTCAAATCCCGGTGAAAAGGGAGCCCAGGGATCCCTCCTGTACCCCTGGCTGGACAGGGTGGAAGGGCTTACATCCAAGATTTCTTTGTT